GCCTGTAGCGTTGTATGGGGTTGTTGTGAGCCAAGTGCAGGAAATAGGGCTGTTATAACCCTCTCCCCATGTTCTCCATACAATAGTAGCCACATTCATGGTGGCTTCTGCGAACTTGTTTTACTTTACAACTGAGGCAAGCAAGAAACCTGCGGGCGGTCTGTTCCTGCAGCTCAGCTGACTGTCAGTGGCTGACTTGATAGCTTACGGGAGCATGAACGTGCCTGGTGTTCGGGCTCCAGCTCCTGCTTCTCAGGGAGCCTCTATACCCCAAGAAGTGGCTCCAGTATGAGATGTTAAGTCAGGTGGCTTCGTCTCTATTTCTTCCCACAGCTTTCCTTAAAATAGATGCACAAATCCAATAGCATGTGCCCTGAATTTCTTCAATTTGCTGTCATCACACTGAAGTGGAATATGGATACAGATACATGTCATAGTCAGCTGGAGCGTGTTGCATTTAATATAGCTTTTAGTATGTTTTAGGTTTAGTAGTTATTCACTTTGTTTAATTACTGTAGAAGTTGAAACCTTGGAGATTTTAAATGGCTACACCCAAAGTTTGAAATATGGCCTGAACCATGACTCCCTTTGTGCAGTAATGCACCCACCGATGCAGTTTCTTGCTATGATTCATGTTTGCAGAGTTTGTTGAACCAGTGTCCATCTGGGGGAAAAAAAAAAAAAAATTAAGTGAAATCCTCTACATAGCTATTGTAATGCAGTTTCTGGAGAATGTGTGTGTGTTCCACTCTGAAAGGAAAAAGTTTTGACCCAGTTGCTTCCCCTCCATGTTGATAATGTATTTTCATGCCTTACAATAGGAGTCACTGGGATAATTAAGGTTTGAAAACCATCTTTGCTCCCTGTTTTAGTGAAATCCTTGAAACACTTTATGTCACTCCTTTGTAGAAGATCTCTGTTAGCTAGGGCATGGGAAATGGTTATTTGAATAAATGCTTAACTACTGTGGTACCTTTCATCAACCCAGCTTGAGTTATCATTGCTAGTCGGTCATTTTATTGACTTTAATTGGAAATAATAATATCAAAACAAGGACAAAACAGGACTCCACTGAGAATGAAGTACAACAGTGTCACATAAAGGGGTGGAGGACCCAGACTGATGAGATCTTTGAGCCTGAAGTAGAAGACATTGTATGGCCCTGGGTAACTCTATTTCCTTTGTCTCGATTTTCCCCTATTCTCCTGCCATCTGTAACCTAACAATACAGTGTCTAGGTGTGCTGTGAAATTTAATAAACAAAATGCAGGATTCTTTGCCAGATATTTATGGTATATGGGTCACGCTGTTGTTAATTACTCAAGTGTGCCTGGATCATTTTCAAGCAGAGGTGGATGACCTGGGGAGGATCCTTGTCCCATCTTTTTTTCTTGCTGCTGAAGCCGGAGCAGCGGACATGGCGGGCGGGAGCTGGTACTGGACCGTGGCAGGAGGGTGCTGCTGCTGTGCACGAGACCTTGCGGGCGTGGTAGGACTCTGCCCTTTGGATGCTGCAGCAAGGGAAACTGCTGCATTGCTTCAGTCTGACTGACTAGGGGAGAAGTTGGCACTTCCCAGTCCCTGTCTGGGAACTTAGCTTTTTTTTTTTTTTTAATTTATGTATTTATTTTTGGCTGCTTACAAAAGGAAGTACAGTCCTATCTCATCGCAGCATGAATTGAAACCTTAGCACTCAGCACACCAGCTCTGCTGCCCGTGCCTAAACCTCACGTACTGCTGTAAAAGCCCTTGTGAAGATGCAGCTTTTCTTATCTACGCTTACTCAGAGGGCAGACAGAATTGGCATGTTCTATGAGGAATCTTTTAAAACTCCTTTTTCTGCCTTTTTTTTCCAGGATAAAATTCAGTCCCCCCGCTGCCTTTTCAACAGGAACGTGTGCATTTTCATTGTGCAAAATCCAAACCACCAAACAATAGTAATGGGAGTATTATTTTTACACTGAGGTTAAAACCAGGTACTTCTGTCCAACTCTGAGGTTGTATTTTAACATAGTTTACTCAGCTGAAGGATGTAAAATATTCTCCCTCTTCTCCAAAGTGCTGGGTACCCGTACCTCACTAGCATCATTAGGAGCCCTGGGTTTCCAGCTCCTCCAAAAACTAGACCCTGGAGGCACTGGATCGGTATGTTTGAATGGTTGTTTGCGTGCGTGTGGTTTCTTGCACCAGGCCAGAGCATCTTTCAACATACAAATTTCGGCATCCCGGAACAATCCCAGTCGTGCTTGGGTCAAGCACTGCAGCCAACTGGTCTCTCGTGGGAGGCAAGCAAAGTCATCTGCTTATTTTGATGGAGTGGGCAGGTACTCCATGCTCAAAATGAATATGGTCATGCTGGAACAGGGTGAAATTAAATCAGATGGCTCACTTTATTAATTTCTTCCCTTCCTAAGGGAAAGGACAATGTGGCTGACAAAGCTAAGCTTCTGGGCTTTTGGGTCACCTTGCGCTCCTTTTCTCCTCTGCTGACATCATGTGTTGTTTTGTCCTTGGGTTAGAAGCTACTGTTTCTAGATTTTCTTCCAATCCAGATTTGAGTGTGTATGGTGGGAGTGGTTGGTGGATGATAGTGTGGGGGAACATACTGTGTTGAAAGGTCACATGCTGTGTTCATTTCGCAGGGCCAAAGATAAGATTTAGCACAAATCACCTTTCAGCTTAACTCTTGACTGCAGACCTTGTCAGAGTAATCACTATATTTGTGTTTATGCAGACACCTGTAGTATTTTGGGGCGAGAACGAGGGCACTGCATGGTACAAAGGAATAGTTGTGGGTACTGGTGTGGTTTAGTGCTCAGCCCTGAGTCACAACGACCAGCTTCTGCCTCCAGCTGTGTCACTACCGTGTGGTGTGACCTTGGCATAGGCTGTAAGCTGACTGTGCAGGGATTGCATCTTCTTGATTAATAGCCTTGCTCAGAGTTATATCCCCTTGATTTGACAGCACAAATAAGTCTTTATTAGCCTGGTAGCAGCGTGGAGTCCTGGCTCAGAAAAGGAGCACAATCCATTCCTGCCTTGGGAACCATCGGCACAATTAATTATATTTGGATTGCAGTGTAAAAATTGCCAGTAAGGCAGAGACGCTCAGGCCTACAAACATCGCGTAAGTTTAATTAAAAGGATGATTTTAAGCAGCTTTGGGCACAGATACTTTATATGTCTCTGTTGGTTTCTATCACTGCCTCAATAATGAATTGTCAATGAGTTCAAATGAAATGAGCTTTCATTCTGCGTGGCATAAAGCTCTCAAAGGGGGAGAGGTAACTGCTTCTGAAAAGGGTTTTAGTAGCATGTAAAATAGGGATGAAAAAAGGGAAGTTTCTCCCTTCCTGGGTGTTCATAGGATGGAGATCACAAATGCAGCCTTTTCAGGAATGAGCCTTCACCAAGCCATCGTCGGTACGGAGGATGGCTGTGCTCCAGCCACGTGTCCAGGCGCCCAAAGGGTCTCTTGTGAGCCTTTACCTAGAAGGTGGCTAAGCCCTTTGCTGGACTGGGGCAAGCAAGCTCAGCATTTTGCAGATGGGGCCCTGGCTTTTGCAGCATTTCAGTGTGTCGGAGAAAGTGTTGTGGATATTCTTTTGACCTCCATATTAAGCTCTCAAATTTTCCCAGAGAACTGGGCAGAGTGAAATACAGTCCTAGAAAGGGAGCAATTAATTAAGCGGCTCTGTGCCGCCTTCTGGGTCAACCCCAGCAGTGCCTGTGAACTGCATAAATGCACCCAGGCTTGTTGTCCAGAGCTCTGATCTGGGTGAAGCTGACTGCAAAGGGACTCGTTTCAAAGCCTCTCTTGTGCTCTTTGGTAGCACGTACAAGGACAGTGTTACAGACGTTCCTGCTCTGCCTGTAATGGCTATGGAAAAGGACTCGACAGATTATTGGGCTGGCTTCTCCCCCGATGTGTGTGCTTTTGTTGGAGATGAGGAATCAACACTGCTGATTTATTTTTTTTTTTTTTTTTAAAGACTCTTGAGTGCCCACAACCCCAGCTGACCTAGGCACTTTTGGAGACTTAGCCAGATTTTTGAAGTTATTTTTAAATGCTGGAAGTCTTGCAGAGGTCTGGGAATGTTTAATGATTGATTATTTGCATCGTAGAGCATAGGAGTCGCAGCCCTGGACTGAGGCTCCATTGTGCTAGGTGCTGAATGCACACAGAACAAAATGACTGGTTTTGCCCTCGGAACCATGAAATTGGAGCAGAGTAAGCTCCCATCCCTCTTTTCTAATATATTTATACACGCTCAGTGTGATACAGCAGTATATCAAATCACGAGTATGTTTTTTAATAGCAGATCAAGTACAAATAAAGGTCAGATTTGTGTAGCGTGCATTTGCTTAATATCTTGAATGGCAGAGCACAGTAAACAGTATGTGAATGCCTGGATGAAAAATAAGTTGTTCACGCTTGGAGTTGATAACAGTGACTGTATGTATTTTTAGCTGTGTTTCTCTGTTATGTCCAGGCCTCTGGTCGGTGCTGCGTTGCCATTACACTTACTGCGCTCCTTTGATTGCTTTGCCAGCATGACATCTGGCTAGTTTCCCTTTGCCAGGGTCCCAGGATCATGGTGAAGTTCTCACAGTTATTTGTATCTATCTTTTCCCTTTACAGTTAGCCTGAGAAATGAATGATTCCTCCTCTCCCTACAGATGTGGGTTTATTTTGGGGTTTGGTTTTCTTTTTTTAATGCCTTCTTCCAAGGGGCAGGCAGGCAAATTCAGCCCTACACCAGTGATGTTAGGTTCTCTACGGGCTATCACAAAACCCTTACCCCTGCTGTTGTTGAGCACCTTGGGTTGGTCCGTGAAGTTGCGTGTTAATTGTTTGTTTTGTAAATGTAGGTGGTGCTTGGTGTACAAGTTAGAGAAGTTTGGTCCCAACAGGATGCCTAGAGCTGAGAAAAGACTGAAACTGGTTCCTGTAGGAGTTGTTCTGCATTTGTCCTTCCCAAAAGCTTTGTCTCGGGCACAGAGAGGCTTTATTCTTGCAGCACAAAATCGATGTGTGGCTGTGAAGTGTTTGACCACAGTTGACATCTTGGAGCACTAAGAGGTTTATTTATTTAGTTATTTATTATTACTTTTATGTATTTTGCATTCAGCAAGCCCCTTGGAATATAAGTAACTAGTTGTCATGCTTGGGCTGCTATTCAGTAGGAAATAAGTACAGTTCAGAGTGCTCATAGTAGCTTGCTTTGCTGGAGACTGTCATCTGCCCTGGTAACCTACAGTAACTGATGTGTTGGTGCCCGTGCCTGGACAGCCGCTGAGAAATGTGCCTTTTGCTGAAGCCAGACTGTTACTCTGTGGGACAGGATCTCCTGCTAGCCAGCTGGTATCACACTTCAGTCTTAAGTGTTACTTTGAGGACTTCATGTCAGCGAGAAATTAGAGACCTGCACATCAAACCAAGCAGACCAGAGTGGGTACTTCAGCAATTGCAAGCCTTTCAAAATATTTTTGTCTTGTGTCCAGTCCTGGACAGTCATAATGTGAACTTGTGACTAAACTCATTTATTTAGGGAAAATTCTTTCTTTAACTGAAGAGCCTCGAATTGAAAGATTTTAGTAAAAGCCTGAAACGTGGACACAGGTAGCACAAGAACCTGCGTCTCCTGGTTCCCGCTGCAGGCCAACCTCCGTGGTGTGGCAAGCGAAAGTTTTTGACCAGTTCTGCCTTAAACATTGAATGATTTTGGCGGAGTGACTCATTGTTTCATAGTTGTTGTTTGTATTGCTATAGCAGTTGAGGCTCTTAAGCTTTGGATCCAAGACCTTGTTGTGCCAGGTGCTGTAGGAACATGGGAAAAAAAAAAACAAAAAGGCCTTGTAAGGAAGAACATGAGTTTCTGTATGACCGAAGACAACAGATGGCTACAGATGGGAGAGCACAAGGAACTGATGAGATAATACTGACCTGTGCAGTGAGTAATAGTCTTCATACATCACTTATGTAAACATTGCTGAGGTTTTATAGACACTATAGCAAAGGGCAGTTTGAAGGAGGATGATCAAGTGACAGCAGAAGTTTACAGTAACATCATAGCAAGCGAGAAAAGCAGCAGAGGGAAAAGATGTATGCAGAGAAACGGTGCTTGAGGAGAGATGTTTGCTGCAAAATCTGGTTAGTGTCGTAGATGCTGTGGTCATGTACGAGAGAGTGCAGGTACAGGAGCAAAGTAGAGACAGCAAGTGTATTTGTTGGAGCAGGGAAAGCAGAGCCTGTGGGGAAAAGAAACCTACAGGCAGGCTATGTATTCAGAGTCTTGACCCTGGAACTTTCTTCTGGTGTGTTTACTACTAGCAACTCAAGGAAAAGGAAGTGTTGTTTCTTTGGATCGTAACCTTTAACCATCATGTGACATGAGGGAACAGATGAGTGAAGCAGAATGTATGTGTTCCTTTATTTCCAGTGCAGATGCTTCCATAAGGGGCAAAGGAAAAACGCTGCTTTTTGTAGCGTTGTTTATTTAAACTTCAGTTTAACAAAATTAGCCTGTGCAGAAACTTCAGTGAACATCCTCTTTAAGTTGAAAGCTTGCAGAGCAAGATGCAAGTCAAATGCCAACCCCAGTAATTAGCACGCATCCTTTCATGAGTGTTAAACTGTGCTTAATCTCTACTGATCGGGTTCTTTTTCTGCTACACACTGTCTACAGCTAAAAATAGTGTCAAGTTAAAGATGTACCAAAGATAGCAGCTGCCCAGTCCGTGGTTTTTCTGGAGCAGCTTGATCTCTCAGTGATCATGGTTTGCTTCTCATGTAGCATGAGGGGAAACACAGCTGTCACAGCATCTGTTCAGGAAGCTCTTGCTGGCTTGAGGATGTCCAGAAGCCCAAGTGCTCATAGCCCACAGTATAAAAGGTATTGCTTGGAGTGCAGCTTCCCCATGGTAAAAATAAAACTTTTAAAGGTGTGTTGCTGTTTGATAGGAAGATTTCTTACGAAGGAAGTGGAGAATCAAGTTTGCTTTTGTATCCTGTGTAACTCAGCATGATGTGACTGCAGAACAAGAGAGGATGTGTTTAAATAGACACACACCCCCCAGAAGGTTACTGGAGGAATAGCTTCGTAATAGGAAATGCATTGGTTGCTTTGGCACAAAATGATATCCCAGATGTGTTTTCTGCAGTGGGCACCCCTTTTAGCTGAACCATTTTTAGCTGTGTGGAAGGTGCCCAGTCCTTTAGCTCAAAGGCTCTTTTGGCAATAAACTTTGGTCTTGCCACTAGATGGGGACTGCAAGCCATACACCGTACATCCATCCTGCTGGGCTTCACCACCCGCCTCTCAGTGCTAACACCAGCCCAGCAACTCCAGCAGCAGGACCTTCTCTGCTCTGTTGAGCTCTGGGGTGTCACAGCACCCATAAAGGTCAGACCTTGCAGCCAAACAAACGTGAAGGGACATGGACGAGGGGAGCCTGACTGGTATGATGTCCAGGTGCTTCTCCAGTGATCTGGTTCTGCAGAATATCATTTTTTTATTCCCACACAGCTACAAAAAGTGTCCTGAGCATGAATGGTGCTCAGTGAAAGCTGAATAGGGTTTGTGCAACCTCCCTGAGTCATGGAGAGGAGTGAATAAACTCTCTCCATGCCTGGATGAAGGAACGTAACAGCAGCATACCCAGAAGTGCCATTAAACTGGTCAAAGATGAAATGGAAACATGAATGCTTCTAGATCCTGGGAGAAAAGTGGGGGCTCTAAGTATAACAGCATCAGTTATGTGCTGGGCCTGACCTACCTGTTTCTTGTCGCCTTGCAGGGCTTTTACCCATGTGTTCACCTTCGGCCCAACGTTCCGAGCAGAAAACTCACAGAGTCGTCGGCACCTGGCAGAGTTCTATATGGTGGAGGCTGAGCTGTCCTTCACTGAAAGCCTCCAAGACATCATGCAGGTGGGCACTCCAACAGGTTCCAGAACTTCTTCCTCCTGCCTGAGCTGTGCTCTCTGCCCTCAACTGAGGTCGCAGCTCTTCTTGCCCTCTATGAGCCAGGTAGAGATTGTATAGGGACTTCCCAAGGATCAGGGCTTGCTCAGCAGAGGTGAGGCCCCAGAGGGGATTTGGAAGGGAAGATAGAGGTGCGATCACAGCCCTCATCTGAATGGGAGGTTGAACAGTTGCTGTACTGCCAGGAAATGTGCAAATGTGCTTGACTGGTGCTAATGAAAGTGGCGCTCTACCCTTCAAAGCCTTCAGCATCTCTTCAGTGAATCTGAGCAGTATTTATGCAGTGTGTCCCATGGTGTGCTCTGTAAAGAGCTCCTTGAAACCTGCATTGAGATCTCAAGTAGAAACAACAGTTCCTGGCATACACTATTCACTGTGGCTTTAGCAGAACACAAAGAAATCCTTAGTCAGCTAGCTTTTGATTTTTCAGGATTGACCTCTCAGTTGCAGTTTAACCACATGACGGATGCTAATGCATCTTACTAGTCTCAGCATAAGCCAGCTTATGCCTAGTAGGACTTGTGAGTAAACATCCACACGCGTTCCCATATATCAGATAAGGTCCTTGGACAGCTGTTGGAGAAACAACCTTAAAAAGACCTGAGGCACTGGCTACAGATCTATAAAATAACATCCAGGTGGTGGTTTCCTCAGCCTGGATCATATATGGTCTGCTGAGTCAGTATGGCCTGACCACAGAGCTGACATACGCTGTCTCATATGTGTGCTGCTTCTGCATCTTGGATGTCTGGATGGCACTGAGCTGTGTGGCCTGACCAGTTGGGAATCTCTGTGCCCCATCATTAACAGCATCCTGCTCTTTCTTTTCTCTCTCCTTTTCTCCAGAACAACTTTGTGTTTTCTTAGAGCATAGCATATGTATATGTTTATGCCTTACTTCCTGAGCCTCCTGTTTCTCTAGGTAATTGGGAGCTGATTGAAATCTTCACTGCTTTTGTCTGGTATAATAAGCAGAGTCTTCTGTTAAGTGGTGTTTTGAACCCTTGAACACAGCATGAACATATCTGTACTCTTATGCCGAGAACACTAATTTCTTGGCTTTTGAAGTATAGGCAGCCACTTCAGACAATTCAGAGAACTAGATTTGAGAACTGTTCTGGAATGAGTAGGGCTTTTATTTGTAGAAAAAAGGAACTTCCCCCCTTGGCTTGGCTTTTTTTGTTGCTAAACATCTTGTGAAGTCTCAGCTTGTGCTCTCCTCTTTCACTTCTTCCCTCTGTCCCAAAGTCTTTGACAAGCATCTTCACCTATAACGTAAAGTCTCCTAGCAGCCATCATTTTGCATTCCTCATAATTAGTCTACATTGCAACATGCTTACTTTTGTGATGTTCTCATTTGCAGAAGTGGAGTTCCTGCTCTGTTTATTTTAAAATCATTGGGCAATCACTCTTAAAAAAAAAAAAAACAAAACAAACCCCAAAACTGACAGCTGCTCTAAAGCCTGAGTTAAGTTTCCTTTTCCCCACATAACTGACCTAAATTCAGCATTCTCTCGTGTATCTGCCTGTTGGGCAGTTTGGCTGTCGTCATCTGCAAGTTCTTTGTTCGGTGCAAAACGCCGAGTTGAAAGCCTTGGGGGCTCTTGGCCAGGATTAGCATCTGAACTTTGTCCTCACATAAAGAGCTGGATTGTTTAAAATTTATTTTTAAAATTGCTATTCAACATTTGGACTGAATACCTCTAGCTTCAGCAAGTTAGTGCGCTGGGAATGCTCAACTTCTTCAGGGACATCTTGAAGTATTTGCTTATACGCTATTAAAGAAGAACCTTGCTACAAAGATGTACATGTTTACCGTTCACTGATGAGGCTTGAGATCTTTCTCTCAGCCAAAGCTCCAAAAGAAACAGAGCTGTCCTTACAAAATAAAAGGAAAAAGAATTAATAACAAAGTTGCATGTATTTGGGAGCAAAGTACCTGAGATCTTGGAGCAACACCCTTTTTTCCCCCACTGTAATTGCACAGAGTAATGCTCAGTTGTTCCTAAATTAGTAGCACAGTTCTTATGAAGTCTCATGCGTCTTGATCATCTAAATTTCTGTTCTGTGCCAAAACGTGTTTTAGTGCTACAAAGAAGCTTAAACTCCCACAATACTGGTTTCGCAATACTTTCTGTGGAAAGTCCCATTTGCTCAGTGCAGTACTGTGCACTGCATGGCTGCGTGGTAGCATCGCTACTTTAGTGTACAGGGTATATGTAAGTGTATCTAAGGAGAACTCTTTGTGGCTTCTTTCCATAAGAGCCTAGTCAAGAAGTTGAGGCAAGTTGCCCCAAGGCACTCTTCCTCCAAACTGGATGAGAAAGAGAGGGAGTTAGAAGAAGGTCAGGTAAGACAGTGGAAGTGATCCAATTTGTATGTAAAGGTCTGGACTCACTAGAACCATCGCCCCTCCAGTCTATGAATTGGAGGTCCAAGGTCTCCAGTCTCATCTGTCCTCTGATTTGCTTGCTGTCACCCTATCCCTCTGTCTTCAGTGCTGTGTCATGTAGCCGTATTTGTAGGTCATTATCTTCTATTTTTTGTTCCACTGTCTTGGCAGTGCAGTGGACTTAAAGGATCCCACTTCACTTGTGACACTAATGGGATCTCAAAGAGGCCATGTGATGCATTCATTATTGAATTTCATCAAATGCACATACAAAACCACGCTAAAAAACCCCAAACATTATTTAGGCTGTAAAGTTAGGAAATGCCAGAAGGAAGTTTTCCTGAGTGCATTTTTGGGAGTTTATGCATAGTGTTAGTCTTCCTTAACAAGATCACATCCAAGCACCACTGTCTCTTTAAGAGATGGAGAATAAATCTCTAAGATGGAGAATACAATTTAACACACAGTATTTGAGCTCTGTCCTGAGGGCAGAAGTATTGTCTTCCACCGGTTATGTACTTCATCAAAATTAATTTGCTGTCATTACAGCCCAGTGACATGGAGCATTATTACTTCCATTTTACAGAAGGGAATTCAGGCATGAAATGAAATCAACAGTAGCACTGATTTTGGGTGTCATTTTCAGGGACCTTGGGTCTGAAACATAGGTGTGGTTTGATTTCCAGAATAGTTTGCACTCAGAGTACTCTGTCTTCAGTGCCAAGGCTAAGACAGCTGGGCAAATCTGACTGCAGTCTCAAGGGAACAAACTCTGGGAATCACATGGGAAAAGTTTGCTCTAAGTGGCTTGTGCAGCACTCTTTAGGGACATAGGGATATCTGCAGGGCTATACGCTCCTTCCCTGAAGTGGCATCCAGCTGCCATAGCTGAGGCTCTTTCCATTTTCTAACTTCCGTCAGTACTTATTGTTCAGCCTTGATGGCCAGTGAAGCAGTGGTCAGAGAAGAGTCTCCTTCTTTTCATAACATCATCTCTCCAGAGTGGGTTCGGAGCTGTTGGTTATATAGCTGAGAGAGGAGACTTTATGACCAAGATCAGATGCGAATCTCTCCTCTGTGTGTGTGTATATGTGCACACACGTACGGTGTATATGACAAGCATGAAGGCAAGAAATAGTGGTCCACTTGGTGAATGTTTCATATGTAAATACCCTGTGATCTACACTGCATCCATATGCATGCCCTAGGTAAATACATAAACAAAAATCCTACTGGCAGATCTTGTGACTTTTCTGAAAGTTTCTTATGTAATAAGGATGATGATTTGAACCCTTCTTTTAGTGCACAGCACCTTCAGTTGCTGCTGCTGACATTTACTGCTGTTCTGTTGATGATTTCCTCTGTTTCAGCTCTGGTCGTAATTTTATTTGGGAAGAGGATAAGTTGCAGTATGAAAAGATCCAAGTTAAAATTAAACAATACACTTGGGAACTGCTCCTAATCAAAATTGGACAGTTAACCATTAAGTTCCACAGCAACATGGGGGAAGGCCAAGACTGATACTGCTGCACTTCTCTGAAAGGTGAAAATCAAGAGAGAAGGCTGGGGGAGGGATGAGGGAGATGGGAAAACTTTTACCTCTGTCCTCCTCACCTGCCCTCCTACCAGCACAATTTCTATGTTTCTATTATGAAGCAACCAAATTGATGGGCTCTTGGACATCAGGAATCCCACCTCTGAGGTGAGCTACTTGCTGTGATTCCAATGTTTTTTTCCCTGCATAAGTCTCCTATCAAAAATGTTTCTTTCAGGATACATTCAAACCAATCACTTTGCCTTTATCTCCAGCTCACATTTTCCCTCAAACCAGTAAGCCAGTGGTTATGCTTCTCTGCTTGTTTTTCATATAGCCTACTTTCCAGTCCTTCATGATACTATCTACTTAAAGCCATAACTTCGCAGTTTGAGAGTTCCCCCCACCCCCCCGCCCCTTTTTTCCCTCCACTGTTCGTGCCTAGTACACATTTGGCACAAGTAAGAGTAAAAGCAGTGAGGAGGCCAATGCGTGACCCACATGTCAGTCTTCTTTGCCAGGGTAAAACCTCAGTCTCAAACCTGGAAATATTTCTCAGATTGTTTTTCCCATACCACCCACATCTTTTTTCCACAAGAGGAAGCTGCTTATGTTGAATGCTGTGGGAACCTAATTGTTACTTTATCGCACAGTGAGGAAAAAAAGTCCTAATTAAACAACATGCTTTTCTGAAACCAGATGATACTTTCATTTTCTAGAAAGAGGAAGCTTAATGTAAAATCCCTTTGTCTCCGCCTGGTGAAACCAGATGAATTGCCAAGAAGTTTTCTAATTTCATTTGCATAAGCCTTTTTCTAGCTACTTTGAAGAAAGTTCAAAGCTGACTGCTTATTTGCCACTCAGCAAAAAAGCTTTTCATTTCCTCTGTGTTTGAGTACCAGTAGGGGTAAAACTGTTCATCTGCATATGATAATGCTGTTCCTTTATTTGGATCTTCCCTTTTTAAAAAGAGGGCTCAGATTGATGCAGGAGTCTGGAGGCTGTTTGACTCCAGAGGAGTCAAAATGGACTGATTTACCAGCTTCTCTAGGCTGGTGGGATGGCAGAGGTTGTTCATCTGCGTGGAGCAGTGTTTCATCAGTTTGGGACAGATGATGAAGTATGTTCTTCTAAACATAAGAGTTTGAACAATGTGCCTTAAATTTTGTCTTGGCTATATCAGTAGCCCAGCTGCTTCTTTTCTGTGCCTTTTGTTCCTCTTACCCCGCAAGGTCTGGTTCCTTGCAAGGCAGAGACTTGCTTCTTCCTCAGATCTGCTGACTGAACGTCAGGTTCATCTTTTCACAGTCTCCTCTGGGCTTTGCGGTGTCTGGGGAGTGCTAGTCACCTAGATATCATTGGTGAATACTTAGCTTCTCTCAGCTCTGCAGTTAATTAAGCAGTTGTTATGCTCACGGAAAAAAACGGGACTGTACCGAGACTTTCAGAGGTGCTTTTTATCGGGAAAAACCTAGTCCCATCCCAGGCTGAGATGATGTGCAGCCTAGCTGCGTTGCTCTGTTCCATACAGAGGAGATGAGAATAAGGAGATTTTGAAGAAGAGTTGGGATTGTCAGTACTACACAGGTATCAACTACCTGCTTTGTGCAGGCATAAGACTACGAGGAGTCATGGGAACTCTTAATTTGCACAACAGCAAGTGTCTTGAATGGTCTGCTTTGCTTAACCAAAAGAGAAAATTACTCTTAAAACAGGTTACTCAAAATGTAGTGGCATCCCACGTGCAGGCTGTTTTTGTTTAGAACCAAAATGACATTTTAATTTCTTCATGGATGAAGCCCATTTTACTGGGTAAGTATATCCAAATTGGACGATAATGTAATTTAGTTAATCCATGTTAGTTTTGGGAAATGAAACCACATCTCTTCTTAGTTTCTCAAACCTCCCTGCATTGATGTGCCCTCTGATCTCTCTAGCTGGGATCTGCTTGATGGGCTGACTCTACACAGTACACATTTATTCTCTTCTTCTTTAGTTCTGTCTCTTCTGACAGCAAAGCACAAAACCAGAATTGCTCCTTACAGGACAGACACCTCACTAATAATTAAACTGAGACCAGTCACCACAAATTGTTGTAATGCGTGTGCTTGTGGCTGACCAGGGCTGCTGCTTGAATATTTTAGCTGTGCTTTTATTTCACTGGAGATACCTGACTGAAGATACTGAGGCCATCAGCAGACACTGAAGCCCTAAATCTATAGCAGAAATACAGGTTCCAGTCCTCTTCAACTACTGAGCAAATCTGCTAATTTAGGAACATTAGCAAGCTGGTACCCTCTTACACAGTCTGACCACACAGAAGGACAGAAGCTCTTTCTGTATCCTTTGGCTGATGTGTCCCGTGTTTTATTTATAGTCTGAGACATCTAAGCAGTGTTAATTTTTCACGCACTCTTGTTTTCTCTATTAGGTTATGGAAGATCTTTTCAAGACAGCAACAAGCACTGTACTCTCCAAATGTCCTCGTGATGTTGAGCTTTTTCATAAATACGTAGCTCCTGCCCAGAAGGTAATAAATGTGACAGGAAAGAGCTGCAATCCTGTTATGCATTCTGGGGGCTCTTGGCTATAGGGAGGCTTAATTTTTTTTCTTCACCGTGTTGTCCTGTGTTAACAAACTGTGAAGAGCTAAAAGTCAGCCTGAGGTCAATGGAGAGAGGACACAGCCTTCTGTAGCTGGTAGCAAGTGTGATAGAACTGTAGCTGTCACGTCATCTAGCAGACTCTGAATCATCAGCTCAAATAATCAGGTACCCTTTTAGCACTGAATGGCTGGGAGTGGATTTTCACCCGTATCTAGATCACAATGCAGACCTACAAATTAAAACTTAGAGGGAGATAGCTTTTCTGGGCCCCTGAACTCTTAAGAGTAACTTTACATTTTTATTTTTTCTTGTTTTGACCAAGGACAGATTGGAACAAATGTTGAAGAACAAATTTGTGACGTAAGTACTTCTATTTAGAAATGATCTGGAAGAGGGGTTTTGGGAAAAGAGTTCCTATTTTGTATATGTTCTTTTTCTTTCCCAACTCATTGTCTTCTGGGTTAGCATAATGTCTCCAAAAGACCATGAATTACAGTTCCCTTTGTTCACCAGTTGCCCTTTCATCTCTGCATGAAACTGGCATCTGAATCTGCTGGCCTTTGTCTTTTGCTTCCCTTGACAAGATCCTCTTTCTGTAAGGGTATCCTCCTTTCAGCATGTACCTGCACAGTGGTTTGCTCACTGTCTTGTATGATTTTGGCTGTGGTGCTTTGCCTTCCTTCACACTTCCACTCTAGCAGCTCCCTTTTTACAAAACTATTTTTTGATATTTAAAAATCGCAGTTGGTTTTCTATTATGGATTGCTTGTGCAACTCCTTTTCCCAGTTCTCTGTGCGCTAAAGATCTGAAGGGTTTTGGTTTCCTTCCTCGGCCCCCACGAATACTTCGTCTTCCCTACTCTTGCCTGTCTCTTCAAATAGGGGTGCTCTTCATTCATCCCACAGAACGTGGTAGGGCTGCTCAGCCCTGCACTGGTTTTCCTGTTAAGCAGCTACAGTCACGCTTGGTCAACAGGATCATGAGAGATCCTCCCTGTGCCTCGAGCCTGCATAAGCACCATGGGAGACCTTGGTGAAGTCACTGTCTCTCCGTTTCAGTCCCTCTGTCCTTGGACCTAACTGATATCCCTGAGAGGACAGGGTTGCACTCAGCTTCTCCCATCGTCCAAGGAAAAAGAGAGTGGGTCAGCCCGTCTCTCTCTCCCTTTCTATCCCTCTCTTCATCAACTGCTGAAAAAAACTTACACACATCACTCACATGCATTGAACCTGTGCCAGTGATAGACCTCATTTGGACCATGGCCTCACGTAACCCAAACACATGGAGCGGTGTATTCCTTCTTGAGGTATTTCCTCCAGAAACCTTCCCTATGTTAGTGAAACCTTGTAGCTGGGTGTAAAGAGCTCATGCTCTTTACGTAATTTGGTTTATAATTGGATTTAGCCAATAATAGAGAGAGAGGAAATTATTGTGATCAGGTTATTCTTTCTTTTCTCACCCACAACATTTGCTTGGTTTGTGGAAAACTTGTCAGCAAAAGTATCTTCCATTGAGTCTTGATTTCCAGTTATCAAACCTGCTGCATCTTTCACTGAGCTTTTTCTGTTTGCTCTGCCATGGTGCTGTTCTTTTTTACTGGTGGAAGGCAGTGGAGAATCTGCTCTCAGATCTGTCAGAAGAGTAGAGAAACATTGCTGCAAATAAATCTCATGATTTTTGCAAAGTAAACTGAAAATGTTTGAGCTACAAGCCCATTGCATTCTGGGCTGTTATTTTTACCAAACACCATCCTGAAGGCTAAAGCTGTGTTGTTGAAGCTATGCCAATGCGCGCACATTGTTTTCTTAAAAAAAAAAATAATCCACAAATTGAAGCAATTATCTGCAGAGCTCACTTCTGACTAAAATGCAACATTGCAATAATGCAAAAGTGTCTTGAGAGCTTGACACTTCCTGCCCTGCATGTAGCTGAAGCACAGGAAAACACGGGGTTCTTGCCATATAAAGTGGGGTTTGGTTTCTGTCCAAAGAAGTGTTGCTGGGAAGTCTGACATGACAGCACAAGTTGGCATGGTGGTGGGGAAATGCCTCCTTAATTTTCCAGTGTGGCACTTTGCCAGAAAACTTTCTTGTTATTCCTTTCGTAGTTATCTTAAAGACTTTTTTTTTTTTTTCCTCTTGCAGAATTTCCTACAATGAAGCAGTGGAAATTTTGAAGCAAGCTTCTCAAACTTTCACTTTCAAGCCAGAGGTAGGTAGTTGCCTGGTGGCTTGTCCCTGTGCCTGTTCCTGTGCACAACCAACCTGAACTTTGTAGATCTCCTTTCTCTCTTTCTGATACCATAAGAGTTGTTGGTTTGCACAGGTTATCTGCCTCCTGGAATGTTTGCTCAGTTGTAACCCAGGTAAGACTTTTGCCCTCTCGGGTTGAAATGGGCGCAATATAAGGAGTGAGATCTGTAGCAGAAGAACATGTAACATTTGCAAGGAAGTGATGAGTTTGCTGTTGAAGGACCAAGGCTTTAGCAAAGGCACTTCTCTTTCCTGTATGCGAGTGCCGAGCGTGTTGTGGATTCAGTAACAATCATCTAAGGAGAGTTGCTGCAATGGTCCTCAAATAAAGGAATGATATTAGGGTAGCACCAGAAGTTTGACAAGGACTAATTATCCAAAACCATGTTAAAATACCGTGTAATTCAGATGTAGGTAAAGGGAGTCCCTTGTCTTTCCAAAGCATAGTTGTTGACTGGGAAAAAGAATCACATGCTAGTCTTTCTAACATTGTTAGATTACAGTTTTCTGAAAATCATATTTTGCCCAATTTCAAACGTGCAGAGAACAGTAGGGAAGAGCATTCATGGTGGTGCTCATCTCCTATATATACTGATTAATCTTTATCTCATTCTGATGCTTCAAGGAAGATAACCCTCTGGCTGAAGCCACCTTTGTAGCCAGCTGGGTGACTGTCTCATCTCTGTGTACAAGTGAGTGTAGAACCTCAAATCCTGTATCTCTACTTCTTCATCTGTGGCAGCAAACTCGGAGTATTTTCGGATGAGGAGAGTCTGCAGAATATCTGTTCCTCTTCCACTCCCTGAATATTCTTTGCACATCCTGTAGTGGACTGGAGGTCTCTAGTTATAAAACCACAGAATTTATAACATCACTGGAAGAAAGGAGAAGTGAAGGGCATTGCAAATGTCCAAGGTTTCTGATAACAAAGAATTGGTTAATAGGATGCTGGGTTTTCTTAAGTGAGAGTTAATGTAGCATATAACAGGACACAGCAGGGGAGAGAGTGGTCAGCTTAGCAAAACTACTTTCTGTATACCAAAGGTAATACTGAAATAAGGCTGGTTTGCTGGGTTGAGTAAGCTGACTTTGGATAGGTGCCTATTTCCCTTAAGCTATGTGGAGTGTGGTTTTGGGGCTTTTTTGGGTTGTTTGGGTTTTTTTCTGATTTGATACCGGATGCTTGCGCTTGATGCAGAGATGATCTGACCCTGTTCTGTGAAAGTTAAACCATATTATTTTCATTGCTTTGCTCTGCCTTAAAACTCGTGAAACTCTGTCTGCTTAGCAGATTTTCCCAGTGCCCTGTGTGAGAAGTTGCTGTGCTTGGTTTCATGTTATTCAAAGCTGCACATTTCTGCTATGCAGGGATGTTGCTGTGCCTCTTGCCACAGGCAAGATGCATCAAAGCAGGATCCCAGGTCCCTTTTGCTGTCTTTACAGTGGGGTTGTGACCTCCAAACAGAACATGAAAAGTACCTGGTGAAGCACTGTGGTGAGGTTCCCGTGTTTGTGATTAACTACCCATACGACCTCAAACCTTTCTACATGCGGGACAATGAAGATGGACCTCAACACACAGTGAGTCCATGGGTCACACTTCCACTGCTTTTTTGCCTAGGCATGTGTCTTAGCATACTGACAGGTAGACAGATGCGGATAGTGTTCTGCTAGGCCTCCACTCAAGAAGTCCAAGATAAGATGTGACCATCAGGGTGATCCTGTCCAGTCTTTTTCCTGTTGTAGAAGAAATCCCCAAAGCAGGGACAACAGGAGGAGGAAGATTCAGGAACTGTATAGCATTAAGTTTTTGCTTAAGTCCCTTAAGGCGAGTTTGCCATAGTTTATTTCTTTTCCTGGTTAACTTCTGTGCTACTAGGTGAAATGCCTAGAATTACATGACTCCAAGCGGTCCATGATTCTCTTGTCATCCAAATGTAGCATCCATGTAATCCTCAAATAGCAGATGGGCACAACAAATAAGCTCTTTTTCCACAAGTCTTATGCTTTGAAGGTGTGATTTTCCAATTGAACTGAGACAATCTGAAGCATTGCTTCTGCTAAAAAGAGCAACTACACCACTGTGTGCCACTGTCACTTCGGTGGCTTTATTTCTGGCAACAGTTCAACTGTGAGATCAGAAAAATAACCTTAAAAAACAAAGCAGAGAAGACAGCCAGCCCAAACCTAACAGCATGAGTGGTAACACTGAGATCCTAACGTTTGGATCCAGCCCGTGAGCACCAGTGATCCATTGGTGCCATTACCACTAGAGTTGGCTCAAGGAATGGGGGTAGATGGGGGGCAAACACAAGTTACAGCATCAGAGCAGCTTAAACTCTAAGGGAATCTGGGCTTCAGGAAAGTTGCCCGTGTGTCTTTGCTTCCTTGTGAGCTGCTGTTGGGTACTTTATAGCCAGCACAGGCTTGCCTACATGCACGAGTTGTCACCAGAGTAACCTGGTGGGCTTCAGTTCACACCACCTGCTGTAGATGTCTTCAATCTGGAACATCGCTGCACTTGTTTAGGTTTTCTGTAGATTTACTAATGGTTATCATTGTAAAGTTCCCTCCCAGACTTCTCCTGTCAACAAGAGACTTTTCAAGCTTGTGCAAATATTTAACCTAAGTGTCTGGACTCTGGAAGAATTACAGTAGCTTTTTACAACCAACCATCAGTGTCAACTGTACTTCTGCCATACATTGTATGGCTATATGGCACGACTTAAATTAATTTTCTTTCTTTTAAGGTTGCAGCTGTTGATCTCCTTGTGCCAGGAATAGGGGAGTTGTGTGGAGGCAGCTTGAGAGAGGAGCGACTGCCCTTCCTCGAATCACGCTTACAGAGGTATGGAAAACCCACAGGTGCCAGGGGACTAGCCTGACCAAGAGGGTGTTTCAGCAGCCCTCGATGGTTGGCAAGACAGAGAAGTGAAAGGGCAGCTAATGGTATTTAAATGAAGCCTGTCTTTAAGAGATCTGTTTATCTGAGTAGGCGATTGAAAAGGGATGAAAAAGTTCTTGTGCTTCTGTTGTATGTGTGCAAACTGCCTCTCTGTTTTAGCTCATCAGAGAAGAAGAGTTTGTTTTATGCTAGGAGGCCAGGGTAGCAGAATACCTCAGCTCTGCTGGGACTATCTGGAACAGGGTCTGATGTGAGGCACTTTGACCTTGAGCCTTTTCTTCGCAGCTTTTGTGGCTGAGAGTGGATTGCAAAGGTGGAAGTTGTCACATAGACAGAGCTTAAATATATTTGTCATCACATTGTGTAATAGAGGAACTACAGTTTAGGTCAGAAGCTTTGCTAGCTGTGTGATGCAGCTGGCCTCAGTGGCATCATTTCAGAGAATATGGTTCTTTGCTAACAGTTTGGTGGGAGGCTTAACTGGAAGTGCCCGGGACCTGTATTGTGTCATACGGGCTCTTTCCCTACTGCTTTGATCTGGATCGTGTGACTTTGAGTAATTTTAGGCTAAATTCAGTGTCAGAATATCAGAGATGCTGTTTAGTTAACAATAATTGACATTATAGATGGGGTAATTCTCCATAGACAAATTACTCCCTGGATGCTGTCCAATTGTTCAAAAGAACCTTTCATAACTCAGATGAGTCCTTTTGGGCCAGTTGTACACTTGCACAAAGTAATTTTGGAGGAGGATTAATCCCAGAGTAACACCATTTGCACATTGGGAATGAATTTGTTGCTTAAATCAGCCACATGCTCACAGAGATATATCTAGTCAGTGGAGAAGAGCAAAATCCATTTCAATATAATGAATCCAAAAGGCACAGGACAATTTAAATCACCAGAACATTGGTTCTCAGTTTGTGGTGTAGAATGATATTATTCCCTGTGCTTCATGCTACTCTCCCTGTGAACTCCTGAAGCAGGCATGCTTCAGCTGAAGCAAAGTGCTATGTTGCCTGCTGCACTTTTTCACTTGAAATTTTTGCCAGTAAGATCTGGAGTCCACAGCCCTCAAGGTGTGGGGCTGGAGAAGGGGTCCACGTGGAGGTTGAAGCCAGACTCTCTTGTTTGTCAGTAAAGTCATAGGAAGTATTTCAAGCTACAAATGGGGTGTGTCTTCAATGACCTTAAAGTACAGCTCTGCATTGAAGATGACTTGGAAAAATAACACCTCTTTTCACATGTTTTTCTCAATTTTGAGTTCTCAGGATCTGATCTGCTAAGCCCTAATACTTCTAAATTATGCTTCCTGCAGACCCAGCATAACTAAGAGAGATAAAGAACAGGATTCTTGCCTCCTTACACGCATTTCATATAATAGCTCTCAAAGTCTCAGTCAGAGACAGCTGCAATGCACTGAAGCTGAGAGAACTGGTCTCTCTTTGCCTACAGTTTTCTGTTCATGTTCAGAGAAATGGAAAAACAACAATTTTGCTCTGGTTCTGTCAGGGCAGGAAAAGGAGGGTGCACTGGTGGCAATTAGAAAAATATGTATTTTATTTACTAGTTTTACAGAAGTTGACACACATTGATAAAGTTACGGGAGTTCAGTCGTTTTGTGTGCTCTGGAAGGGGAGCCACGTAGCCACACATGTGAAGAGATTTTGTCTCACTCATAAATGAGGTTGGTTGCATGTCATAATTTAATATGCAGGCCTGTACTCTCCAAACATTCACAAGTAGAGTTGACTGATATGCTTGAAGTTCAGAATATGCACAAGTCTTTGCATGAAGTTGGGATCAACCCTGTATGTTGACAAAGCAAACTTTGCATTTTAAGAAGCATGTTGGGAATCTGTTCAAGATTGTCTACGAATTACCAGAACTGACAGGCACTGATTATGTCTTCCCTTAATTTCCTGCCTTTCCTTTTTGGACTGAGTTTAGTCATCAGACCCTCTCTTTTCTTGTAGCATTCTCTTCCAGGAAAGTTCTTGTACGGATCTCCTCTGTTCTTTTACTTACAAGGGGATTTCTTTTTGTTCCACAGATTAGGACTCACAGATGCCTACCAATGGTAAGACACTGTCTTGGTCTGTCTGCAAGCTCTATTTCTTCTTTTGAGACTTTAAATAAATGTGTTGTGTTTTTTTTTTTTTTTGATCTTGTTCTTGAGGGGACATGTCTTGGCCCAGTTGCCCTGCCATCACTGCCAGTCTAAATGGAACAGCTAGTTCATTTAAATAAAGTTTAATCTACTGCTGCTTCGTTTATCTTCCCAATTTGTCCACTCACAGCACAGGTCATTTCTTTCAGGATTGCATGAAGTGGATAAATTTACAACCCATAATGATTTTTTGATATTAAATCATTAGGCTGTGTTTGAAGTTGAATAGATTCTCACTGCCATTGCATAAGATAAACAGGTTACAGAACCACAAGCAATTTGTGACCTTTAACAGCTCCATGAATAACTCCCTTTGCAATTGACAGGGCAATTGGGTTGAAAATCTTCCCTAACAAACTGGTTGAAGCAATTAAAACTGTCCTGCTAAGGAAACAGATCAACCTTTGAATTAATGGTTTAACCTATTAAAACGACAGAAGGATCTTAGTGTTCCTCTTGACAAGTGTTTCTTGGTATGTACTTTATCATAGCTACTGAGAGAGTGATAGTGCGGCGAATTTTAAATTTAGAAGAGTATATTCAAATACTCTGCCATATTTGGATTGATCATTAGGGAGGCTGCCTTGAAAAAAAGCAGAGTAAGTGTAGGATTCTTCACTCCCTTCTTCCCACAATATGAAATCGCTTAGGAACAGCCCAGTGCATGGCAGACCTTTACATCATACATTTGCAGACAGGGTGAATTAAATGTCTTCCTTTATTGTTTGCACTTATGGGCCAAGAATATACCATATCACTTCATCTGAGGGAAGGATTATCCTGAACAAGGATGGTCAGTTATGTGGTTAGATGCTGAGATATAGCCTGAGGAGGTCTGGTGTTCAGTGGCAGGGCCTTCCAGCACTAGTAAGACAGCACAGCCCTGCCTCCTGCTTCCCTCAGCAGAGAAGATGAAGATGTTGCCTGTCACCCATTTGCATTTTGACATGATACATAGCAATCACATTCTGGAAACTCCTTTCTCCTGTGATGTTGTTGTGGACACTCTTACTCTACTCCATCACAGATGATATAACTTCCCAGAGAAGATTAAAACTGTTGTTACACCATGCCATAGTAGGGTCTGGTGTCCTAGGAAGGTGCAGAGTAGGAGTAATCCTGGATGCTTCTGGACTACAGTCCAAAATCTGCCAGAAAACAGGTAGGTGGTTTGCCAGCATCCATCTTTTCAGTGAAGGTGGCAGGAGAGACTGAAATTAATCTCCTCCAATTTAGTGATTGAATTTAGTCTCCAAAGCTGGCTCACAAACTCCTTGAAGAACAGTGGAGTCATTCCTTTTTAAATATAGTATTTGCTGACTTTAGAATGGGCAGCTGTCTGAGATGTGATCCCTTTTGAAATCCCTTATATATTGCCTTATCTCTCTTTTTACTTGTTTTCTTCTCCCACTAAGCATGAGGATACTGTGGGGGCTGAATACTTCTGGGACAGCTTCAGGAGTGATTTGTTTGTGGGAAAATTGTTGGGCAAAGAGACAACCAATGATCTGAAATGCTGTTGTGTTTCTGCCCATTCCTACCTTTTAGAAAGCTTTGCAAAAAAGTAGATAAAGGGACATGGTCAAACTTCCCTGAATCTTCTTCAGTTCACTACATCTTTCCTGTTGTACAGGTTTCTTTCTGTAAAGAGTATGAGTTGGAGAAGTATTTGGCTTGATATTGCAGTTGTCTTATCTTATTTTCACACTCCTTCCTTTGAACTGTAGATAGAAAAAAGCTCAGTGCTGTAGATGATGATCTTGGCTAGACTGTGAGAGAGATCTGTGGAAGTGAAGTGGGAAAGTCGGGTAATCAGAGTTTTCTCTGGGAAGTCACTTGCTTTCTCTGTGCCTGGGGAGTATTAAGTATATTGCCTTGTAAACAGGGGACCTGATCCTATTTGCAGTCTCCAGGTGCCAGCTTAGCACAAGCAATAACCAAGCAAGTGCTTTGTAATGAACGTGTCCCCACTACCATCAGCTTGAGCAGCATTTCAGACAGTCTTTCTACATGTAAGGCACCCATTTCCTCATTCTGATTACCATCGTGCTCATCAGTGGAGAAGATGGCCTCATACTGAACCCTTTACAGTCCGGGTACCTTTCGGATCGTCTGGTCTAATGCTGGTGAAAGTACATTGTGGCAGAGCAGGTGTTATCTGCTGTCTTAGAATTGCTATGTTGTCTTGGCCTTGCACCTGCTCTACATGGAGAAGATTGTATTGGGCTCTTTAATTTCTAATTTTCTTTGAAGTTTGAATGTCAGAGTGTTCTGTTGGGTCCCTATGTGGCAAGGTAGAAAGGAGGAGTTGGACTTAAGGAACAGCAGCACTGGTGAGCCACTTGCAATCCATGGCCAGTGACAGTATTCATGTCATCCTTTAACCTCCTTCAGAGCACGGCAAAAACAGGTAGCCCATCACTGTCCTTGGCAGTGTCCTGGTCCTCTTACTCACAGAATCACAGACTGGTCAGGGTCGGAAGGGACTTCTGGAGATCATCCAGTCCAACCCTCCTGCCAAAGCAGGGTCACGTACAGCAAGTTGCATGGGAATGTGTCTAGGTGAGTTTTTAATATCTCCAAAGAAGGAGACTCTGCTTCCTCTCTGGGCAGCCTGTGCCAGTGCTCTGCCAACCTCAAAGTATAGAAGTTCTTCCTGATATTAAGATGAAACTTCCTGGTTTGGAGAGAAACCAGAGCGCTGTGCTGTGCCATACAGAGGCAAGCAGAAAGTCAGTGCTAAAGCCAGCCAAAACATGCCCAAACCCCACCCATGACAATGGGAGTGTTTTAGATTGACCTCCCTGAACGCTTTTTTTGTGAATTACCAAAAAGTTGTAGCAGAGCATAAGCAGCCTGAAACCAAAGACAGCATTTTACCCAGCATCAGAACCTGGCGATGCTTTGCATGTTTATTTCCCGAAACATTCAACAAAACAGTCTTTCAAATGTCATTTCACTGGTAGTTTTTCATTACCTTCATTTTTTTTCCTTTTTTTTCCAGTAGAATATTCAACTTCATGGACTGCAATATCTTTGTTCTTTCAACCTTACTTTTTTCAAACTGGCTGCAGAGGCTTCAGTATAACAAGGGGGTTACATAAAAGATCAAGATTATATTTGTTTTGAAAGGAGACCCGAAAAGAATACATTCTGCTTGTGAATGGTCAGTAAGAGAGCGCTGATCTTCATAGTGCCTTGCCATGCAACACAGGAGCTTGTGATGATGATAAAAGAGTATAGATTTTTAAAAGGATGAAAAGAAATGCTCTTCTAACTTGGCACATAACAAGCTCCTGGAATTCATTGCCGGGGGACGTTGTTGTAGCACATACTTTAGTAAGATTGAAATCTCTGAAGAGCTACCAGTCCTCCAGGTCCAGAACATGAGCTCCAGGGCTAGCTGGGGTTGCAGAAACTTATTTCCCCTGTGGAATAATGTTGCACAGTCCCCCCGTTGCCAATGAAGGGCTTAGCTCTCCTCTGAAGTATGAGCAACTAGGAGAAATAGCGAGACTAGTTCATAACTGGTTTTGAGGTGAGAAACATCCAGTGTCTGGAGACTATCGAATGAAGGAAAATCTCAGGGAGCATTTTCTAGCCTAAAAGAGAATTTTCTCTTCATTTGCAGGCAGTTACTTTTTCTTTCATCTGGGAAGAATGGAAAATTTCTCAATTCCTTTGCTTCTTCTAAGCACAGTCATCAGAAAGGATTCACAGTCTTGATCCTCAGCACATTTACTTCAATGGACTTTTTCCATTAACTTTAATGGGTTTTGTTTCGCTCCTTTTGCCAAAATGGCTTCCCAAAGTGCTTTGAGATCTACAGATGAAAGCCCTGCATAAGCAAGGGTAGAATTTATTATTATTGTTCATCTGGAAGAAGCTGAGTTATTTCATCTCCTTACAATGAAATGACTTTATAAACTCTGTTGCCAGCAAAAGGGGAGAAAAGATGCTAGGCTTAGTCTCAACTGTCTTTGCACAGGCTGAAATATGCTTATAGATGTCATCAGAAATGTTTGTGCTGTTGTTTATATTACTAGTTGCAACTAGAGTTGTCACCAGCTGGTTTGCCAACCCTCAGAACTACTGAACGGATACAGATTGATCTGCCACAGCCAGCACCCACATCCCTCATATTTACGAGGTCTTTCCCATTTCACAAGTCACCACCCTCAGCATCGGATCTGCCCATCATCGTCCTTGCAAACCCTGGAAAAGCTGCAAAGTGGAGCTCCCAGGGGGGCAGTTCCCAGTGTATTAGCAGAAACTCAAGTTCTTCTTAATGCAGTCTGTATGAAGTGGTTAGAGATGAAGACCACCATACTATTGCACAGCCTACCTGTTCATATCCTAAGCATAATCTTCGTCACAAGGTGTGGAGTGGATACAACAGAGCCTTAGCAAGCCAAGCTAACACCTAGCAGCACAGACAGAAAGCACAGGGGTTCTAGGGATCAGAAAACATGTGTCCCACTCTTGAGCCTGCTATTCAACTTGCAGTATAGGCATAACTGCGCTTTTTGTGTCAGTGCTAGTAGGAAGAGGTAAGAAGTTCTATGATTCTATCAAGTTCTGCTTCTCGTTTTGCTGCTTGGGCAAGGGGAGGGGAGGGGAAAAAACACTGGGGGAAAAAAACCCTGAAGATTGGATTGAGTGTAATAAATGGCTTCCCAAATTTTAACTACTGTTAAGGAACTACAAAGAAAAAGAAGATTTCATGGTATAAAAGGCATACTGTCAAACTGAGTCTGCCAGGGCAATCTCTTGCAGCTGTAGAATTTTTTGGAGAGTATTTTTATTTTGCAAGTAGAGGTGATCGCTGGCATTACTTTGGCTTCACTCTGTTAAAATCTAGTCTTCAAGCCAACAAAATTCTGAAGTCCAAGCAAGTACACTTATATATAAAATGTATATTTTACATATTAATATATATAAAAATACATACATACTCACAAATATACATTTGCCTTGCAGTTCATTAACAGTAGATAAAATTTGGGAAACCATTTATTACAATCAATCAAATCTTCATTTTTTTGCCATAGTGTTTTCCCCCCTGTACTCCACTGCCTAAGTAGTAAAACATATATATGCATTTATATTTAAGTGTACTTGATTTTTTTTTTTCAAACTGGGATGATAAAATATTCATACGCAAAGATTAGAAGGACATAATACATCTGGGGTCACTCAATCCCTTACTACTGCATTCATATAAAGAAGAATAACTTTGTGGCCTCAGCAAGCTCAGAAGTGGTCCCATAAATCAATAGAACCAATGAGGTGTTTTTCACTCCTATTAAAATAAAACTGTGGGTGACAATTTATAGCTGTAAATATAGTTCCTCTGTATCACATCAGCTACAGTCCAGCTGGGAAATGGGGAACTCAAAGAAGAACCATCATAATCTTGTTGACAGCCATATATTTGGAATATCTGCTTCCAAACATTTTCTGAATTTTCTGTGTACAGAACACAACAGGTGCTGTTCTCCAAAATGAAACGTCTTGTTCCAGATCTCATTTTTGGAGAAGTTATGTCCAAGATTTTTTGCTGACTTACTGTGGAAATAAATAAATCAGTCTGTAAGAGTGATTGGGGGAAAATTAACAAAAAGCCATCATAATTCCCCTTAAAGGAAAAAAAAATCTGAAGGAATATTCAGCTCACAACAAGACCAATTTAGGCTTCTGCAGAAATTGCTGGAAATGAAATGGCTTAGACTGTTGAAAAGAAGACAGAAAATGAAAGAACTTATTGTAGGGCAGATTTCAGCACCATCATGGCAAGGGGTAAACAAACCCAAGCAGGTAACTCCATCTCCGACAGTGGAGATGTTTTGTGATTCTGTAGGAACCTGGGTTTGTGCCTCTGCTTAGGAATATTTTAGATAGTAAAACTTACAAAGATGCTTTCAATATGAGCAGAGCTATGATGTTCAAGCTATTCTTTGTACCTAAATGAGTTCTTGCTCTATAACAAAACAGGTTCTAGCATATTGGCAAAGCATAGCTATGCTGGTTCAAACGCGTTTGCGCTTGGGGTTTCTGCTAATACAATTCTGCCTGTCAGGGAGCCGCACCTCTTCACACCCCTGACCAACGCCGGCTGTGTTGGCAGAAATCCATGGTGGTTAGGGTCAAAGGGAAGTAATTAAGATGGAAAACAAAACCCTAGATAAAAAGCTTGCTCTAATTACATCAGCATAACTGTGCTGCAAATGTAACTGTCTGTTTAAATTACAGGTATCTAGACCTCCGAAAATTCGGCTCAGTTCCTCATGGAGGCTTCGGAATGGGGTTTGAACGCTACCTGCAGTACATTTTGGGAGTTGACAATATCAAAGATGTCATTCCTTTCCCCAGGTTTTCTCATTCCTGTCTCCTTTAGCTCTGCAGTTGACTCGCATGGAGAAAACTACTGGTGTGACTATATGTATATAACATACTAGGATATGACTAAGTGTATTTTAGTGGGAAACCAAGATAACTTTTGTATCAGTGAAACTCTTGGTAAATTTAATACTGACTTATTGTAAACAATATGTGTTCGGTGAGATTATGGAAGCACACTGACAGTTAATTTGATAGCAGTTTGTGTCTTCAGTGCACTTCAGGAGTATTAATAAATCCCACTTAACTAAAGGGTTAAGATTCTCATGAGAGTAGTACAAGCCATGGAAGTACTGAATAAGCGTTGTTGGGGGTTTATGTGAAATATTAATAAGGAGGTGTGACCTAAAATGGACTGGCAGCCAGGACTGCTGTGAGGCTTTAATAGGCTTTAATTAAATGCCTGAACAGTGCTTTGAAGATTGAGTGTTATAAAATTGTGAAGTATTGTCATGGCTGTGATGCACTTGCTCTTACGAAATGGTTACTGCAAAACATGATTCTCCCCACCCTGAGTTAAAAGCAAATATTGTTTACCTTGGGAAAAATCAGCCAAACCTAGCAAGGAAAAATGTCATATTGGAACTGCTGGAGTGAATTAGGTGAATGATGTTTGATTTTGTGAATCATCAATAAAGTTGTACACTGGGTTGTTTTGTAACTCTGTATGGTTTCTTCTTCTGTTACAAAACCATAGCACTTAGCATCATAGTGTTTCCTTCAGTGTCTTTGGTAGATGTTTCCTTTTCTGTATACCCAAATTAGTTGCACGACTTCTGCAGGAGATGTCTGTTTTCTGACTCCAAGAGAGCACATGTTTATAGCAGAAAGAAATGTTCAGTTAGATGAGAGTTCATTCATCTCTCCAGAGTCGATTTGCAGTTTATTTGTGGGTTTTTGTTGTTGCTTTGCTTTTTTTATTGTTGTTATTGGGAAAATCTCTCATGTGCTCATTGGGCCAAGAAGTTTTGTCTGTATTTTGAAACAACCAACATACGCTCCCAAGCATTGCATATGTATTAAGTAGTTGCTTATCACTATGGGATCTGAACTCCTTGCAGTCTTTAACAGGTTTATGCTCTCAGCTGCCCTGCCAGGTAAAGAAATATTCATTTCTGTTTTGAAGATGGAATTATGGGAAGATCAAGTGACTTGCCTGAGGCAATTGGAAACCAGTGGTTTATTTGGGACTTGAACTGAGGGTTTCCAGCATCCTTCTTCCCTTCCAAATTACCACAATCCAGCAACTGGTCATTTGCATAGTGCTTACTACTCTGGAGCCCACGACGGCTGCAGCACAAACTATATATATAAAGAGAAAAAGCAAGGTAACAGCCTTATTGCTAATGAACCCCATGTAAATTGACACATACAATGTGAAGTGGCTGCAGAACAGCCCTGAAGACGTCTTTTCCAAGTAGATGAGGGATTGAAAAATACTAATCAACTACCGTTGCACTGGTAATATTGCAGTCAGAGTTCTTTCTGGGAGTGCTGTATAATACTGCACCTGCAGTATCTAAAAATACCTATTTATGTCATGTGGCACCTGCCATGTTTCAGTTTGGTCCACGGCTGGGGCTTTTACGTATTATGATCATGCAAACAACATCACCACAAGGTCGTTACTTTGGGGTGTTTGTTGCATGCACTGAGTCATCCCCTGCATACCAAGATTTTTTTCATATCTCCTTTGTCTGCTTGATTAGGCAGGTGTTAACTCTGCATTTGCTGGTTTGTGTTTCCCGGTGCAGCCTTGAGTTGGTAAGTCTGATTCCATGAAACAGTTCAAGCACCTGCCTTCCCTTTGAAACTACTGAGAAGTTCCTACAGCAGACACTCGAGTATCTTCCTGCATTTGGACCATCTCTCCTTTTAATGTGTTGTCTTAAATGTTATTGCTGGCCTTTATGTTATGGAATTACTTCTTTCAGCAGAAAGATGTGGAAAGAGTACAGCTGCCAAACAGCCCCGTCCATACCATGTTCTAAATAACTTGCGATGAGCAGGTGTCCTTATTGAGATACTTAAGTCACTGGTTCTCTCGCAGTTGCTGTAAATGAGAGTGCTTGAACTGGAAGCCCATCTGCTGAAAACAGAGTGGGTGGATGGCAAAACCATCTCCTGTCCACTCTGCTCTCATCCCTGCAACAGCTCTGGGCTGGCTGTGTTGGTTTTGGCATCAGCAGGCTGTTGTCAGCAGGAGGTTGTTGACCATGCTGTGAGATGCCAGAGCTGATGGGCAGGGTGGGGCCACAGCGACAGGTGAAAAACAAGGTGGAGGGAAGAAGACAATGGAAGGTGCCAAAAAGTCGTAGGATGATGTGGTATGAGTCACAAGTTACAAGGAAGGATAGCAGGACTGTTTTAAACAGGCTTGCAGAGTGGCTGTCAGGGCTTTATATGAGGTGACAGCTTGCAAGAACCAAGAACTGGTGTGATCCACCCTTCATTCTTTACCTTGATAAGAGGTTGTTGCAGGACAGAAGAAAAAGGTTGAACCTTTGATTTGTAGATAGGTAGGTATATGAAGGTATATGGTAAGAAATACGTAGCAAGGATGCACCGTGGGTGGTTCTTCGTGTGTTTCCAACTAGGTTTCCAAGAGGAGGAATCTCCCCAGTCTTCTACATGTATTTCTGTTTCATTCAAAGGTACTTGGTGCGTTGGAGATCCAGTGGGCAGGGTTGAGCTAAGGGGGCATTGCCCTGGGGTCTAAAAGCTCATCCAAAAAAACTACTCCCAATAATCTGGCAGAATAAGCAGGAGGAGTGCAGGGTTGTTCCCAACAGAACTAACCAAATGAATGTTCAGGGTCAGAATGGAGAAGAAAGGGTTCTCCAGTCTTGGAAACAGCCTTCAACATGCATTGTTTTTCCGAGCGGTGGGAGAGAGGAGAAGGTAGAGGCTGAGGCCTGTGTGTGCGATTATACTGCTTAGGGTTAATACCAAGATTGGTATTCTTGTGAGAAGCTTGATTTATGGGTACCCAGCAAGGGTGGGAAAAAAAAGGCTGGCATTGTTCACCTTGTGCTATGTATATATAAGATGGGCTGGTATTGCCAAGGAATGCAATGTGTTTTCCCTGGGATTTCCATGTGGAATGTCATGTATTTCCTTTGAATCTCCTCTCCCAGAATGAAACGGAAGTTAATCTGGAGGACAGAGGAGGTTGTTCCTCTTGGACATGTAAGCAGGGAAATGCACCCAGAATTTCTTAGATTTGAGCAGTCTTCCTTGCTACATCTTCTCTTGGAGTCTGCACTGTGACAATGGGTGAAGCCAGATAAAAACTCTTGACACTTCTTCAATAAAAAGGTGTTATTCTTTGCACGCAGGAGTCATCTCTTAGCCTGAACATGCAATGCAGTAGCTTACAGTGGGGTGATTTCACTGCGGTAAGCAGTCAGCTCTCAAGCCCAGGTGACCAGCATGGTCTCTGCTAGCATCCTTTTGGTAAGTATTTCTTGGAAGTTTCAGTTCCTCAGCAGCCAGTACTGCCTCATTTTCAGGTTTGTCCTCATTTAGCGCTTCGTAGGAAAGAATCAGTGTCATTGATTACTGCGTCTGTGGCTTTGCAACATTAAGACAGAGTGATGGGAGAGCAACGCCGCTGGGAATAAAAGAGCAATGCTATAAACTTTGCATAACCAAATGCCAGCCTCTCAGAAGAGTGTTTGGAAGAAAACCTTTGTTTTCACTTCAAGAATATCAGATAATCCCTTCCCTCAAGATTTTTATGCGCGGGATCAAAGTATCCCAAAGTACTCTGTTTTTAATTAAAAAAATAATACCTGCAGAACTAACATGTCTCAGTCTTCTCGTTTTTAAATCCACAGGGGAGCAAATGCATGCTCTGAAGCTAGTAGTAGAGATTGCTGTTCTCTCCCTTATGATTTATGTTGTGATACTATGGCAGTGTTTAGATCTTGGACTGTTGTGCTAGCTTCTGTGCAAGCATAGACAAAAAGATACATCGCTGCGCCAAATGTTTAAAAGTCAGCAGACCAGCGCAGAGATTTTAGCTGAATTACCTGCAATCAGGCCCCCAGACCTGAGGGAAAAGCAGCAAGGTGCCCAGCTCAGCAGTCCTCTCCCCAGTTTATTTGGTAGTAGTTGTAATTTATAAAGCATCACTTGTTTGAGGGAATGCCAAGACTTTGATGGGAAATGAAACGTACAGTTTTGCTTGGTGGACTAATATTGATTGTTTTGGAAACAGCTTATAGATGTGTTTTTCTTCTGGGGGAGAAGGGGACTAATTTGCCAAGAAACACTTTGGTCATTGTTTCCATTAAATGTGTGTATAGAGATAAATGTGACTTTGCTGCTGCTGAAACCAATAACAGCCATTATTGCTGTTGGTTTAGCCTCTGCCTTACGCTGAGGGAGAATTGGGAGATGGGTCCAAAGGAGATATAAGAAAGACTTTGTATAAAGATTGTCAAAGTTCTAATTTCCTCAGATCTAACCGAAGCTGCCGAAGCCACAAAAATGGTGGTCTCGGGGGTGAATTTATTGGTTTGTCTTACTGTTTGTTGCAGAGCCGTGACCTTTGGAAGGATTGTAAAGTTTTATTTTATGATCCTGCTGGTAAAGAGACGTATGTAATTTACTATACGAGTTCTTACAGACTTGGCTAACAACAAGTTTGACCCAGAGTTCAAAGAAATTATGGCTCCCGTTGTTTTATTGCTGCTGTGAAATGTAGTATTATCTGTCCTGCAGCTGTGTCTCGGTCTCTGCTGCACAAGGTGTTCGGCAGAGATGCTGTAAAGGGAGAGCTTTCACATGAAGGGCAAGAGAGGGGCAAGACTGTGTGGCCATTTAGAAATCATATACTGGCTTCATCAGAAATTGTAGCCTCGGTTATGGGTGAAATGTGGATGAAATGACTACAGAATCCTTGTTGCTCTTATTGTTGATGCTATATTACTGCGGGAAATTGAGGCACGGAGCAATTAAGTTGTTTGCCCAAGGTCGTGGAAGATGTGTGGCAGAACCATGGAACTGACCCAAATCAACCAAATCCTTGCTCAGTGCCTCCCCGTGAGACTTCCCTCTGTTTGCCTTTGGGTGCGCTGCCACACCAGAAGCAAGGCAGGATGTTTGCAACTGATCTGGTTTCAAACGCATTTTTGGCATTTCTAAGATCCTAGACTGTGCTTCAGTGATTTTTATCTATCCCTGTATTTCCTGAGGCCTTTCAGAGATAGTGATCCTGCTGTTTATTTTTATTACTCTTACAATTGATTTTTTCTGAATAATTTGAGGCAGCCAACCCAGTACATTTTTTAAATTTTCTTTGCAAAGCTTGATCTTGCTTTTTGCTCTTCACCAATAGCTGTATAT